TGCACAAGGAACAATGCAACCTCAAATATGGATCCCCGCCGCCGTCCTTTGGCTCCTAGGCGCAACAATTCTCCAGAGGCTGATCCCTAAAGAGCACCAACCCCTTACCCTTCCCATCTCCAAACTTTAGAGGAGCGCTTCACAGCTGGGATAGTAGAGATGCCAGTTCCTAGGCGTCCTATCTTAAGTTTCCCTTCCTAACAAGAGTCTGATGACTCATCCTTACAGTTCTTAGATGAAGGTGGTTTCCGTTACCCATTCCCTCCCTTCCTGCCAAATGTCACTTGTCGACCTTTCCTTATCCCAGGACCACCTGACTCATCTAGCAGTGACGCTGTAGTCCTGCACCAATTCCCTGGTCCCCTGGAAATTCCCCCGGCATCAGAAGCTACCACCGGATCCTACCATGTCACCCCTGCACAGGTTTTTCCATCCTTGTTGCCTATGAATACCTTGTCGTCCCCTAATCCTGACAGTCCCCTTGCTGTGTCAACCGACTCACCAAGTATGCCGCCTCTCACCTCGGATGTCTCGGACAATGGTAGCCTTGTCCACGCTCCTAATCTATGGTTACTAGCTGATGCCAGTGAATATATCACGGCCACAGAAGGGTATAGCAGCGATCCTCAGGAATTTGTAGTCTACAGCGACAACTTTATCCAAAGACCCTCCATCGATGTCACACAATACTGGCGATCCCTTCCCTTCGACACCTCTGTCCCTGTCCAGGATGTCGATCCCTTAGATCGTGTACTACCCTACTTCCCTGGAGCTTACGCTACCACCGTCGCCCGACCTCCTATGGGTGTTCCCATCGATGGAAATCCAGCCTTTGGACTGCGACGAGTATCAACAACTGCAACTGATGTACTCCGAGTTGCTGAACCTGTAGGAAATTGGAACCAATTGTGCAAAGAATGGGAGGAGGATACTTGGGAGTACTTGCTGATGCAAGATGACAATTTGTTGGAAAGTCTCTGGGCCTCGTTGTAGGATATCAAGGACCTTGGGGTTGCCAATGAAGTCAATTGTTTCAGAGCTGTCAATGCCAAAATCGACTTATTATTGGCCGCACAACGATCAGTAGGGGCTGAACTTATTCATACTCAACAGGAGATGGACCAATGCCGCACTCGTCTCAAAGCAGCCAACCTGGAGAAGTGTCTTGAGCAACACGAATTTTCAATCACCACTCCTCCCTCTGGTGCCATGCCCCGCCATCTTCACTTCTGTACCAAATGCAAAACTGATGGTCACCTTCAGAGTGAGTATTAGCATTGGGTGTGCTCTTCGTGTTGGCTCCTACACCCTCGACATCCATTCCGCACTGCCGCCAACATCCAACCTGGACAACTCCCTTGTCCCACTGATGAACCCGGTGATAGGCCCGTGTAGCGCATGGGCGTGCCTCGAGCCGTACTCAACATTCGAAGCACTCGAAGCTTCCGCCTTCAGGAACAACCACGATACCTCGACACGAGAACGCCTTTGAGCAAGGCCCGCCCTTCGACACCTTCAAAGCTTCGTGATCTCACAACAATCCAATCGGGATCTTTCGGTGGCGGCTTTATTCCGGGGGCTCAACTTCGAAGACAAAACACCATCATCCGGAGATTGAGACATACGATACAGGGCCAATGGGTAAACCCCTAAGTTGACGCGCTCGGGCCACGACGCCAAGACTTGCAATGGTCGGGCCTCCAAGACTAGCAGGAATAGCGCGGTGGACGGGAATTGGAAACTGATGGAGACGTCGGGCAGGAGTAGGAAGGATAGCGGGATCATTCGGCGCGGTCAGGGCAGTGGAGGTGGTGACTTGGGAGGTTCGGCAGGATGAGGGATATTTAAGAGTGGTTTTTCATGGTTGTAAGCCGCACTCGGCCTCCTAGTAGCAACTCGCGCAAGAATCGCATCCCCCCACTCAGCAGAGCTCATTCTGGCTTTGAACTTGCTTTCGAAGTGTTGCGTCTCCCTACAAACTACGACTACGACCCTCCAAACTACAACTGCGACTTTTGAACTACGCCTATGCCCTTTGACCCTTGTCTATGACCAGTACCCCTCCTTCGAAGCACACCTACTCGTACAGCTAAGTCCCCCGAAGTTCCATTCTCGCACCCAACCTTCAGATGAGACTTGTGTGTCCACGCTCAAATTGCACTTCGCCTTCGTGTCATTGAGCCAGCTCCCCTCTTACCTTCCCTCCGCTTCTACAAAAAGTCGGAGTGTTCGGACGGTCCAAAACAGTCTTGTGACACCATCCCAAGAAAATCTAGTGAAGTTGTTGCCATTCAAGCGAGCTATCACAACTACAAGCCCTCACCCCCATCAGCTTCCCCGAGAAACAGGAACTAACCCTTTTCTTTGCACCCCCAAGTTAGGGTTAGGTTTCCCAAGGTTGCATCACCGGATACTTACAAGAGTGTCGCGCTCAGTGGAAACTCTGACGACAAATCTAGAGAGGGGGGTAATGTTACAGCTT